ATATCAGGATCAATTATCTCTTTACAAGGATAGTAAAACTTATTGCTGTGGAACTCTATTGCACGCATACAGCAGCTTGCATCTTCTACTATCTAGCAACCACTCTGCCTGAGGAGAAGGAAGGATACACATGGATTGGGAGTTTAAAACTGGGGGACGATAGTTATTCACACTTCAGAGAGCTTGATCTAGGGAAGCGATATACAACTTCCTTATATTTTGCCATTGTTACCATGGCAACAGTTGGTGAGTCCTAATCTAGTACAACTTCCCTATGCAAAGCTGATTTTTCACAAAACTTTGCTACATTTTGCCTATGTCACACGGCAGCTGTGGTTAAATTCTTTCGTACAAATCAAAGCATTATATCTTTCTTCTTTTTCCAAGTGTTATTTTAAGTTCTAGCAAATTAACTTTTGATTGCCATATTATGAAATGCAATAATGCAAAATTTTAAGGCATCTAAACCTTCATTCATGTGTTCACTAGCTAATATGATGCTGTGAATTTGGTAGGATCTAATTGTCACCCCCAAACACCATGACTCGATCACCCTGATCACTGGAGTTGGTTTACAAATTACCGACCAAAATAGTAAATCTCTCAAGCCTCAAACTAAAACAATTAAAGCTAAATTACAGCAATCAAGTTGAAAGTTAAATGGCATGCAAAGAAGTGGCAGGTATTGTAAGAGCTGTTATACTGCTGGTTGCATGAAAGTCTACACAATGCTGGAATTAAAAAAGGTACTATGAGTGCCTCATAGATAAATAATGTTGCACAATAGTAACATGTTGGTGGAGCAGATCATTTGGTTGGATATAATAGTAACAGTATTTTTTCTTTTACATGAGGGGGGATTGTAGTTTTTGGTTGACATGACAGTTGTGCTTTATATGACTGACCGATGGATTTTGTGGAAGCATCGTTTTTGGTAAAACCACTGTTTTGAACCACTGAAGATAAGTGACCTCCTTCTTTTAGCAGCATCCTAATTAAGCTGATGGATAAGAATAAATTGAGTGATATTCTAGCTTAGTAAATGGTAGTAGTGGTATTTAAACTACACGAAGTAATTCCATAATAGTTACTGAAATTTAATGTTTAGTTTATGAATGATGGAGCATTTTCTGCGTAAATGAATAGTGTCCAATTCTTGTCCTTTCTCCTTGCTGATATTATCACTTTTTTGCTAAGTGGCTCAACAAGCTCACATACTTATATCAAAATCTTCCTCCTTTACCAGGTGTTCTATTATTCTAACCAAGTATCTTTTTCTGATATAGGGTATGGAGATATACATGCAGTCAATCCGAGAGAAATGATATTCATTATGATTTATGTCTCTTTCGACATGATTCTTGGTGCATACTTGATCGGTAACATGACAGCATTGATTGTCAAAGGATCAAAGACAGAAAGATATAGGGATAAAATGACAGATGTTATTAAATATATGAACAGAAATAAACTCGGAAGGGACATCCGTAATCAAATAAAAGGTCACTTGAGATTACAATATGAAAGCAGCTACACTGATGCTTCTGTTCTCCAAGATATCCCAATCTCAATTCGTGCCAAGGTAACTGAATAAAAACCACAACTTCATCATTTATAAGAGCTTTAGTAAGTTAGTTGTGGAAATTATCAACCTTTTGATGATCTTTTCCACATCCAAAAGGATCTTAGGATAAGGGAATTCAATAATCTCTAAGGACCATTTTTGCTGTTGAGTGATCTGAACATAAACTATTCACCTGGACTGTTCTTTAAACCCACTTTATAAGATTGATATCAACCCTTCACTCCCCGCGGACAGTCTCAAATTTAACTCCATCTTATTCATAATATATCTCCAAAACTTTAGTTCATTCCTTTTCCTGATGAGTGCAATAACAATTATTGATACCCCAAGCTCATCAACAAGGCTCATTTGTTTAAGCTGTCTCCTCAGAATTGATATTGCCCAGCAAACTATTATATGTACGGTCATATATTGGTCAACATGATTATGCCTAATACTGTGTTATATGATACATTTCAGATTAGTTATATAGTTTATGGTAGCAGATTTTAGTATAATATTAATATTCTACAGATAGTGCTGTTGTAAATAGAAGTAGTAAAACACTGGCTTTCATGTGTCATGGCATTCTGCCTGATAACATCTCATTTGAGGAAACACCTAGAGGCAAAATTTATATCTTCTGCACACTGTCCCATATGCTGAGAAGTTTTGACCAAGACCAAAATTATTTCATCTTTTTGTCTTATTTATTTAATTTAGTTCTTCAAAGGCAAAGATTGATACAAAATGCATCAGTTGTAAAGAAGGGACATATACCTCAGCTTCCTTTCATTTTATGAGTAGTTACTATCTCCTTTCCCTTGGACTCTTTGTTCTAACGTAATTTTTGTCTGAAAAATTAATTCTTCCATTGACTAATTCATTTATTTCTTACAGATATCTGAGTCTTTATATAAGTCTTATGTTGAAAATGTTCCTCTATTCAAGGGATGCTCCTTGGAATTCATCAATCAAATTGTAAGTTATTTTCTTGTTATTCCACTCTGTCACTTTATATTTTCTTATGGCTGAATGATTTTTTTCCCTCTAATTTTCCATCACTTTAATATTAAAAATATTTAATAAATGAATATGTTTGTGATATTGAACTTACATTAAAGACTTTTTAAAGAGTTAGAAGGACATATTAGGGTTCCACAAAGTTCATGGCATGATTTTTCATATTAAGATCTAACTTTTATTCATGACCAATTTTAACTGAAATAAATTTTTAACTTCATGCTAACTTAACCTGATTCCCAAGGCTGATTCTTTTTTCCTTCTTTTGTCTTGGTTGCAGGTAACCAGGGTCCACGAGGAATTTTTTTACCCAGGAGAAGTTATAATGGAACGAGGAAATGTTGTGGATCAACTCTATTTTGTTTGTCATGGTGTTCTGGTACGAAACTCTGCCTTGTAAAAAACAAAATGCTAATTTTTATGCATGTCTTCCTAGCAGATTATTGTGTCCTATTTTTGTTCTTGCTGTTATATCATGCATCTTCTACTATCCATTTTGCTCATCAGGACTCTTTTCAACTCTATGAGATATCATCCGTTCTCATTAAAATGGAAAAAAGTATCTCATTGTTCAAAATCATCAAAAATATATTACAGAAGTATTTTATTGAATTTTGATACCAGCTCCCATATTTTCAAAACCACAACAAAGCCGTTGATCATGATGTTGAGAGCAAGTTAATAAATTTCTATGATGAATAGAATAAATTGCCAGATTCATTGCTGCTAACTCTATTCAGGAGGAGGTCGGCATTGGGTCAGATGGATCAGATGAAACAGTCTCACTTCTGGAGCCTAATAGCCTATTTGGAGAAATTTCCATTCTTTGCAACATTCCTCAGCCATATACAGTTCGGGTTTGTGAATTGTGTAGGCTCCTGCGGATTGATAGACAGTCTTTCTTCAATATTCTCGACATATATTTTCATGATGGGCGAAAAATATTGACAAACTTATTGGAGGTAATTTGATTTGACTCTGTTGATGAGTGCCCTTTCCCGCCAGTCACTCATATTTTTCATCTTCATGTCGGAGATATTAAGACTTGTCCTTGTAAGCTTAAACTAAAATTACTTCTTAACACATTTGAATAGCGCTCTTTCATTTCTCCTATAAAATTTTGAATCAAGAATCTTTTTTGCATAATCTAAAATTGAATTTTGTGATAGGGTAAGGAATCTAATCTTCGGGTGAAGCAACTGGAGTCAGATATCACCTTACATATCGACAAACAGGAGGCTGAGCTTGCTTTGAGGGTGAACAGTGCGGCTTATCAAGGTGATTTGTATCAATTGAAAGGTCTGGTTCGGGCAGGAGCTGATCCCAACAAGAAAGATTATGATGGAAGATCGCCCTTGGTATGATTTAAGATAATCAAATTTGTATTCTGCAGTCTAACTTTTCAGGCCAACTATATAAAACCTTGTGGTTTCAATTTATTATTTTTCTAGTGGCTCAAATTCACCAATTTCTTCTCCGCATAAATGTTTTCATGATGCTGAAGTTTACACCACCTTTAAGAAAAATGATCAAATTGATTAAAAATTTATTTTTTATACCTAATTGGCCACTTACTAATTTTCTGAGTCTTAATTATTGAAGTTTCAGTAGCCATTCTGGGTACCGTTTTAAGGTTAACTAAACAGCACACTCAAGCATTGAGAAATGGGGATTTTATGTCTCCCTGACCTACTAGATTTGTGGAACTTTGGCATTGTGTCCAGCATGCAAATTTTGTTAATATACAGCTTCTTTCTACATCCAAATGGGATATATAGATGCATCATCTCTTATCATTCATATTTTATTATGTGCTTCAATTTTTTTCCCAATAATTTAGCTTTATTAAAGTTGTTACACAAATTGGTTGAATGAAGAGATTATTAAGTTAGAAATTACATAAAGTGGTTGAATGAAGAGATTATTAAGTTAGAAAAATTAACATCTAAGGTCCTTTTTATTTACTTTTATTTCTTGCAGTCATAAAGATCTATGCACCTGTATCCTTTTGCAGTCATAAAGATCTATGCAAAATAATTTCCAATGTCCCACTACATCTTTTCCTGTTTTTGGACCTTTTATCTAGGATGCACCAACGAGTCTGTGTCCGACATGCCGACACATGTGGCATGTCCAAATTATTTTTACGTTTTGTATAGTTGGACACATTGTCGACATGTTGGAAAATATATCATGTTGGACATTGACGCGTGTCTAGAACATTTGGTGGCGTGTCCAAATTATTTTTATTTTGTACAGTTGCCCATGTAGACACGCTGTCATATACATTTCCAGCATGTCACGAAGTATATTTTTGACATGTTGGAATTAACAAGAGCAAATTTACTTTGCAATATACAAGATAAAAAAACATTTAATATTATTTTAATCAGCGTGTTGGGACGTGTTGTGTCGGTTTTTTTCATTAAATTTGCATGTAAAAGTATTCGTGTTGTGTCTTGTCCGTATCAGTGCTTCCTAGCCTTTGATGCTTCATGACTGTTATTTCACGACACAACATGAATTTATTTTAAAAATTTGGATCTTCAAAAAGATTATATAATGAAAGCGACAACAGATTAGGGATCCCTAAACAGCACCTTGTTTTTCGACAGCATCTTGCTGCATCACGAGGTTACGAAGATATTGCTCTTTTTCTGATACAAGAAGATGTAGATGTGAATGCTGCAGGTAAATTTTTGAATTGGTTAACTGGTGTTCACATGTGAGATTTTGAAATTCCATTAAGTAACATATAGGACTTAATGAAATTGTTTATCTGAACAGATAATTTTGGAAATACGCCCTTATTTGAAGCAATCAAGAGTGGACATGACAGAGTTGCTGCGTTGCTTTCTAGAGAGGGGGCCTTGTTGAAGATTGAGAATTCTGGTAGTTTCTTATGCACATTGGTCGCAAGAGGAGATACTGATTTTCTCAGAAGACTTTTATCCCATGGCATTGATCCAAACTTCAAAGACTATGATCACCGAACCCCACTTCATATAGCTGCCACTCAAGGATTATATTTGATGGCGAAATTAATTTTGGAAGCGGGGGCAAGTGTTTTCTCAAGGGACAGGTAAAATATATTTCTTTATGGTCTAAGCTCATCTAGTTTTTTCTTTTTTTTCCTTCCATTCCGAGTGCACACTTGTTTGCTTTACTTCCCAGTTTCTTTTGAAGCCTTACCAAAAGGAGCAGTGATTTTACATTTGATGCAATCTGTTTTATTAATAAGTCCTGCAGAAAAAGAAAATCAATAACCTTTCTTTTTGAGTCAGATAGTTTTTATGTGGTTCAACAATGTGTGAGCTTTAGTTCTACTTTAAACCATTTTACATCAGTATGAAATTACATGGCTCTTGTGAGTATACTATACTTCTACTGAACAGATTCAGGATCCAACACTTGCACAAGATACAAATTGTGACTCCTGGTGTACATTTTCATGGCATTTGAGTTTTTTATGGGGCTTTCGCGTTGCAATCTTTAGTTTTTCCTTAGCATTTCTAACTTAAAAATATAGATCTTACTTAGTCATGCATTGGTTATAAGAAATCACTCGAGAGATTTCCTCAAAACTGCCCAATAACGACCCAAGTGTTTTGATATCATAATTCTTGATTTATGTTTGCTTCCCTAGGGAAAGAGAATTTCAACTCTTGCAGTAGTCAAATCAACCTATGGTAGGAACACTTGTTCTGATGGAATTAGAAAAATAAAGTACAACAGAGTTTGCCAAGACCTGCTCATTTTTTATGTAGTTTTATTTGTAAACATGATGTTCTAAGCCTTTCTCAAACTAAGTTTAACGTCACTTCATCCTGTTATTCTATTCGATTATTCTGCGCAGAAAGTTATTTATTGTATTAATTTTTAATAGATTTCTACAAAACCAAAAACCAAACAGCAACTACTAATTCTGGTCCAGTAATCAGGCTTCAAATGAAGCTCAATTCTGACTTTAGGAAGTATCTGTTTTTTCATATTCACAGGATGCTGGAGTTGTAAAGCTGTGTTTGTGTTTAGCTCATATTGTTATTAAGTTTCAAATTCGTCCATCTTTGATTAGTTTATTGAGATTCATTGCAAAATAATTTATGCTTATTTGCTCTTAATTTGTTGAGGTACAGCTACATTTTTGTGTAACTTATGAATTTTCAGATGGGGAAACACCCCAATAGACGAAGGGAAAATGTGCGGAAACAAGAATATGATTAGACTTCTGGAAGAAGCTAAAGCCGCCCAATTATCCATGTTCCCTGATTGCTCTCAAGATGTCACAGGTACCAGATTCTCAGTTTTTGACTTTAGCGTGCATAATCCAGATATTAACTTTCGTTACTACTGCTGAAGAATTGAGCATATTATAATGGAAGTGACTAATATTAAAGGTGCATTGCATTAAGGCAGTACAAATACATCTACACACAAACACAAAAGGAAAAAAGGTATTATAATGATCATAGAACTTAATAACTAAAACCTCCTTATTGGATATAGTGAAAGTACCTAACGCTTTCCTTCAAGAAAACCTGGATCCATATCAAAGAACAGACTATCATGGACCTTTGTGCTTCATTCAACCTCAATTTTACCTCATTATTTGTCCTTTTGCATTTAACATAATTTGTATTTGCACTTCATGTTTTGAGAAATGTTGCACGCACTTTGTTAATTGATGCATTGTCTTTTAATTTCCATTTGATCAAAACTAAAGATAACCTGACATGGCAAACTCTTATGTTTAACCTCTATTATTTTCAGTAAAATGGTTCCTTATGTGCTTGAGAGTTTTTAAAATGGGTGCAAGAGTCATTATATATAGTGGAACAACAGACATAATAGGACATAGAATCTAGTGGATGAGTGATGCAAAATTTTCTAAATTAAAATTACGTATACCTGTGCAAGTTTCAATTGTCAATCATCTTCTACCTAGTTCTTGAATATATATAGGTAGAAGAGTCTATGTAAGTTAGATGTTGAGTAACTATAAAATTACTTCTTTTTGAACCACATGATCTAAAAGTTTAAGGGGCCCTCTTATGTGCAGTCTGAAATCATCTTTTATCAAGAGCTTGAAAGTGCACAATTTTCATAAATGGGTGTCATTGATGGCATGGCTTGAATCCACCTCATCTAAATTTAAGCTATTAAAGAAGGCATTTTTGTTGCAGTTTCGAGCACGTCTTTCTACACTTACATTCGTTTTCATATTACTTTCATTAGTCACCTCTCCTAATCGTTTTCTCTGAGAGCTATTCAATTTCGATGTCAGATAAAATGCACCCAAAGAAGTGCACTGTGTTTCCTTTCCACCCATGGGCTTCCAAGGAGAGTACAAAATGTGGTATCGTAATGTGGATTCCTCACAGCATTGACGAGCTAATCAAAACAGCATCAGAGCAACTGGAATTTCCACATGGTTCATGCATATTATCAGAAGATGGAGGAAAAATTCTTGAGGTCGATATGATAAGTGATGGCCAAAAGTTGTATTTGGTTAATCAAACAAATTAAATGTCACTGCCTTGTATATCATTTAAAAAGCATTTCTTGCTTTCTTGAGTTTGGGAATATCACACGTTGAGTATTTGGGCGAGAATCGCTCGTTATGGGGCTTCCTTTATGAAGTCCGCTCTTTCCAAGACTCCGATCCTTCGGTGGGAAAGCTTAGATGAGAAGTCATTTCCTTTTGCTTTATATCACATGATTGTAAACGAATGTCCGTAAAGCTTGTAAGTGATTTCCTTCTATTGATTCAAGATCCGGGCTCAATCTCCAAACCAATCAACACCACGATCGACAAACCCA